CTTTTAGGGAATATATTTGGACACTCTAATGTTCCAAGTGCTCAGCTGAATTTTCATAGTTTAGTATTCCCCTTGAACCAAGTTTGTGGGATCTCCATTCAACAAGGTAGGGTTCTCACTATGATCATTCTTTTCATTGTAGATTTTTAATCCCATTCCCTCTAGCAGTATTCTTAGTTGATCTCTATTCAATCCTTTAGTAAAAGGATCAACCAAATTTTCCTTAGACTTTACGTAGTCAATGGAAATAATACCATTTGTGATCAATTGGTGAACGGTATTATGTCTACGACGAATATGTCTAGACTTACCGTTGCACATGTTACTTTGCGTCCTTCCTATAGTGGCATGGCTATCACATTGAATCATCACATGCAGCAAAGGTTTCTTCCAACATGGAATATCAGATAAAAAGTTTCGAAGCCACTCGGCTTCTTCACCAGCTTTATCTAAAGCGGTGAACTCCGACTCCATGGTTGATCGAGCTATACATGTTTGTTTGTGGACTTCCACGAAATAGCACCTCCTCCCATACAGAAGACATATCCACTTGTGGAGTGAGAATCTCTCGAATCCGATATCCAGCTTGCATCACAGTACCCTTCAAGTACTGCTGGATGTCTCGAGTATTTTAGCCCGTATTCAAGGGTGTACTTTAAGTACTTCAGTACCCTTTTCAAAGCATTCCAATGCTCATGATTGGGATTGCTTGTAAATCTACTCAAATTATTCACCGGATAGGCCAAGTCTGGTTGTGTACAGTTCGTCAAGTACATTAGACTCCCTATTATCCGTGAATATTCCAATTGAGCAACTGGTTGACCTTTATTGGCTTCCAGATTTAAGCAAAGATCAAGGGGTGTCCTAGAAAGAGGACCTTCATAGGCATTAAATTTCTTGAGCACTTTCTCTACGTAATGAGATTGTGACAAGACAATTCCATCTTGGGTTCTGATAATTCTTATTCCAAGAATTACATCAGCTACACGCATATCTTTCATGTCGAAATTTCTTTTCAACATTCGTTTCGTATCCATGATCACGTCATGGCTACTCCCCATGATCAACATATCGTCTACATATCGTTCTGATAATTCTTATTCCAAGAATTACATCAGCTACACCCATATCTTTCATGTCAAAATTTCTTTTCAACATTCGTTTCGTATCCATGATCACGTCATGGCTACTCCCCATGATCAACATATCGTCTACATATTGACATACAATTACATATGTATTTGATGTGTTCTTAACATAAACACATTTGTCACATTCGTTGATTTTGAATCCATTTGACAACACCACGTTATCAAATTTCATATGCCATTGTTTCGGAGCTTGTTTAAGTCCGTACAAGGATTTGATTAATTTGCACACCTTTTTCTCTTGTCCAGGTGCTACAAAACCTTCGGGTTGTTCCATGTAAATCTCTTCTTTTAATTCACCATTTAAGAATGCAGTTTTGACATCCATTTGATGAATCTCAAGATTGTGCAAAGCAGCCGAGAGAAGCACTCTAATTGACGCTATACGCGTCACAAGTGAATAGGTATCAACAAAATTGTTTCCTTCTTTTTGTTTAAAGCCTTTGACCACTAATCTTGCTTTAAACTTATCAATCGTTCCATCAGCTTTGTATTTTCTTTTTAGGATCCACTTGCATCATAATATTTACAACCCGCAGGGAGATCAACCAACTCTCAAGTATGATTTTGCATAATGGGCTCGATTTCGCTATTTATAGCTTCTTCCCAAAGTGGTCCATCTGGGCTAGACATAGCTTCCTTAATGGAACTCGGTTCATCGTCCAACATATACGTAATAAAATCAGGTCCAAACGTTTTTGCTGTTTTTACCCTTTTACCACGTCTCGGTTCTTCTTCTTTATCTTCAGGACCATCTGGTACAGAACCGCTAGCAGTTTTATACGTCCTTTTGTTATAACTAGATTCTGCCCTTTCCTTCAGAGGAAAAATATTCTCGAAGAATATAACATTCCTCGACTCAATAGTGCTACCAACCGATACCTCCGGATTTTCTGATTTATGAACCAAAAATCTATATGCAACACTATTGTACGCATATCCAATAAAAATACAATCGACCGTCTTAGGTCCGATTCTCATTTGTTTTGGTTTAAAAAATGAAACCGTAGCTAAACACCCCCACACTTTCAGGAATTTATAAGACGGCTTACGATTTTTCTACATTTCTTAAGGAGTCTTATTTTTCCCTTTAGGTGGTATTTTATTTAGAATATGATTTGCTGTTAAAACAACTTCCCCCCACATATTCTGGGGTAATACTGAATTTATCAACATAGCATTCATCATTTCTTTTAAAGTCCGGTTCTTGCGTTCAGCAACACCGTTCGACTGTGGAGAATAGGGGGCCGTCGTTTGATGAATTAAGCCATATTCAAAACATATTTGTTCAAAAGGAGCTACATACTCCCCACCCCTATCACTTCGGATTATTTTAATCTTTTTGCCGAGTTGATTTTCAACTT